GGCCGGAGCGCGCCGACCCGCCCGGTCACTCCACGTTGCTGCCGCCGCCGCCGCCGCTGGCGACCGCGTCCAGCCTCCAGCTCCCTCCTCCGGCTCCTCCTCCTGCGCTCGCTCCAAACGCCAACCCGGCAGCAGACGACCGGCCGGCGGCCGCCGCGGTGGCTTCCACCCCCTGGGACCGCTCGCGGGGCAGCTTTATTCCTCGTGGGGTGGCGCAGGGCTTCCCCGGGACGCCCGCCCGCTCCCCCCGCTCCTGGTTCCTCTACCACTTGGACCTGCTCGCCTAGGGCAGGCCGGCCCTTGGCACCCTGGCGGCGGCCCTCCCGCGCTCTCCGCTCTGCATCCAGGCAGCCCCTCCGCTGGCTCCCGAACGGCTCCCTGGACCGTTACACTAGGTTATACTGGGCTCCCCATCCCTTCCAGCCTCCCTCGCCTGCGCCCCTGCTCTCCGAGCCCCTCCCTCGCTGTCTGACCGCCTCTGCCTCTCTCTCAGCTCCTGGAGCTCCCCTCCAAGCGCACCTTCTGCTGCCAGCAGATAGCATCCCGGGCTCGCCTGGGAGGAGAGATTTATAAGTTCCCTCCGCACCACGTGTCTGCCTTCCACAGAGTGACGTGCTAGGGTTACAGCCAGAAGAGCTGCGGCTCCCTCAGACCCGGAGCTCGCCGAGCCTGGGCCGCGGAGGGGGTGCGGCGGGGAGCGGGGCGCCCGAGTGTGCGCCCTGACGGCGGTGATTTACGGTATTTACTTGACAGAGTCACTTTGGACGGCTCTGCCCGGGGACGCGCTGTCCGGCCTCCCGTTTTGACTCAGTGGGGCTGCCTCCCGGCCTCCCAAATGGAATCACTTGCTCCACAGTGGAAGTCTTTCCTCCTGTACCGTGCACACGCGCGCACACACACAAACACGCGCGCACACAAACACGCACACACAGGCACCCACACACGCGCACAGGCGCTCACGAGCATTAGCTGACTGTGGGCCAGGCCTTGCCTTCCCCTCTAAGGGCCACCTCCTGCCTGCAGCGTAAGGACTGCAGTTTGTCACAGCCTCGCCCGCACTGCACCTGGGCTGCTCCATGGCTTTANGCCTGCAGCGTAAGGACTGCAGTTTGTCACAGCCTCGCCCGCACTGCACCTGGGCTGCTCCATCGCTTTAACCCCGAGAAGGAAGCAGGTCCATCCCTTTCGCCCTGGGAAGAGGGAACCGATGGGCACCTGAGCCGCTTCTCCATCCCGCTCCCCGTCTCTTCCCCTTCTCCGGCCAGACACCCGCCACCGGCTCCTCTCTCGGTAACATGCACCCAGGGAGCGGGGATGTGAGCTGTGTGGTGCCTGCCTCACCCACTAGGCAGCACCCGCATCTTCTCTGTCAGCCGGGCCCACTCGAGATGGGTTCGGGAGGAGAGGTCCAGGCCACGGTCCACTTTCCCTGTTCTTCCATTTCATCTTTAGCTCCTCTCCAAGTCAGCATCTGCGTTTGGTCATGACTGTGGCCGTGCCCACCCAGACGGGTGATTTCTCGAAGCCCCCGTATTTATTATCCCCCTGGTCAGGTGTTCCTTCTATTATAGGAAGGTCACGAGGAACTTCCTCTGACTTTTGAAATGGACACTTCGCGTGTAGATGGGGCCCGTATTATTGGTAAACGGAGAGCTGAGTCATTACAACAACAAAGGCTAACACATATCACACTCAGTGAGACCCACCAATAGGTGTGTACGGCCATTGAATCTTCACAACAACCCTATAAGGGAGGTATTGTTATTACCCTAACCGCTGCTTTGCAGACGAGGAGACTGGTCCAGAGAGGGTAAGTACCTAGTTCAAGACCACAGTAAGCAGCTGAGGTGGCCTATTCATAAGAGGGTACTTTTAATTTCCCCAAAGCCCAGGAAGGTAGGACAGGGGAGGGGTGGGTGAAATCTTCAGGTGTAGGGGAGCCCCTTTCTACCTCTCAGGTGAGCAATGCTTTGAAGATGTAACAGGTCAGGCTGTGAGAGCTGCCTCCCTGGCAACTATAAATGGATCCTTTCTTGTATTAAATAGCTCTTTGGGGGTCTTTTCATCTCTACATTTGGGAAGCAAACATTTGCTACGTTTAATGAGATCTTAGTATGTGCTGGGGCTTTATACAGTCTTCAGGGTAAAAGGGTACTGAACCCACAGAGACCTTCTTGATTAACTCCCTCAAGGAGGCGGGAGAGCATCGTGGTTTAAAGGGCCAGCTCCAGAGGCAAGTTTTCTCAAGTTCAAATTTCTGTCCCTTTCTGGCTTTGTGTCCCTGGCCAAGTTACTCCGACCCTTCGTGTTGGTTTCTCCGTCTGTGAAACGGGGACAGCCCATAGTACCAACAATACCGGGTTACTGTGAGGATTGAACTACACAAGGTGCGGGAAGCTCTTCTAACACAGCCTGGTGCCTAGTATGTGCTCATTAAATGCTCCGGGCCATTTTCTTAGCCACTCGCTTCACCGTCTTTGTCGGAGACGTTACAACCAGACACGCGGCCTCCACTCTTGCTCGGGAATAAACAGAATGAAAAGCCAGGGGAGACGCCAGTAACAACTGGCCTCCTGGTTACACCTCCTGGCAGTTTCTATTAGAACAAGGTAATTAACTTCTTTTAAATATTATGGAATTTTGGGGGGGGGGTAAATTATGGTATTTTGTCCCCAGTAATTGTGGGGAAAAGGGGCAAGAAAATATACTTTTGGTGAACAGAACTCTGACTGCCCGAGTCCAGTTGTGTCCAAATTCAAGATTAAGGCCTCTTATTATTTAACACCCTAACACGGCATTCTTTGTTTTCCAGATCAGAGAAGGGGAGGGTGCAGCTGTCTCACCCCGGGCCCTGCTTGGCTCATGACTGGGTCCGTGCACGTAAGTCTTGTGGAATTCCTACAAGGGGCTAAACAAATGTTTGCCAGGAACCAACTGCTCGTCCCTGTCCCCGACTTTTATTCCTGTGGATCAAAAGCAAGAGTCCAGGAGCTCACGGGTCCTTCCTAACTGCGACGAACACCAGCCTCGTCGAGTACAACGCCGAAAGCCTTCCACGAGGGTCCCAAGCACCGAAAACCAGGGGGTGGGGGGAAAACGAAATATAAGGGCCTACCGTCGGCACTTGATAAATGCAACAGAACCCTTTACTGTGAAAACAACACACCAAAAGCCTTTTAAATTCTCACTTATAATCTGATGTTGAATATCACTGAAAAGCAGCGATTTTTATCACACGTTCCGTGTGCATTTCTATAGAGACAGTGCGAGTTCCCACTCTCAGAGCGGTGAAAGGGCGAGGTTAGTGATCTGGCCAAGAGAAGCGGTCTGGCGGTGATCTCCATTCCCTGTCTACGGGTTAATCTAGGAAAGAAGTGAAACGGAGGAGGGAGGGAACACCGCAGGGAGGAGGGGATTAAAGGGCAGGTCTCGGGTAAAAGATAAAGAGAGAAATTGAGAGACAGGACAAGAGCCGGCTGAGGTCTCACTCCAGGTTTGGGGCCTTAGAGATACAGGCCTCTCACTGGAATGACACACTGTGGGGACAGTTATCTGACCCTCTGGAGCTGTGATCAGCTGATGGATTATTGGTTGTGGCTGTTGAGCCCTATGTCTCTACAGGTCTCTGCNTCGGGTAAAAGATAAAGAGAGAAATTGAGAGACAGGACAAGAGCCGGCTGAGGTCTCACTCCAGGTTTGGGGCCTTAGAGATACAGGCCTCTCACTGGAATGACACACTGTGGGGACAGTTATCTGACCCTCTGGAGCTGTGATCAGCTGATGGATTATTGGTTGTGGCTGTTGAGCCCTATGTCTCTATAGGTCTCTGCTTTTCAGAAGGGAGTCTCTCTCCCCCTCTCTCTCTCCCCCTCTCTCTCTGGGAGGCATCTCTCAGTGGCCTGAGCTTTGTCAGCCCAGGGCCTCCTGAAATCAGTCCCAGCCTCTGGCTTCTTGCCCCAGGTGCAATTCATCCACTCAAATAGCTTTAGCAACTGGTATCAATAAACAGCATTTAGCGGCTGACCTAAGTAAAGCATCGTTATGGGGACAGTTGTCAGGCAGTATAACATGAGGATGCGCTTAATAAAGTGCTAATGTTCATCATAAGCCAGCAGCAGAATTTTCCTTAGTTTTCAGAATCTCTACTCTGACTCGACTCAGCTGACCACCCCGGAGTCACGTCTCACAAAGCAAGAGCCAGAACTGGGTTGCTGGGGAGAAAGGGGGTGGGGAGAGAAGTATGCACAAAGGAAAAATAAAAATAAAATTGAGGGAGGGAAGGAAAAGGCAAACGGTAGAGAAAAGCATCATCGTGTTCTCATAATTGAAATAGTACGGCATTAAAATCAGTAGCATGAAAACACAAAGTGGAATTTTAATTTTTCTAAGATACATAGT